ACTGACAATACAAAAATGGATCTTGAAACTGTTTCTGTGTGTAAAAGACAGAAAATATTCTTCCCCCGTACTCTTCGTACGTGAATAGGTCGTACGTCTATGTGAAAGGTTGTCCGAGGAAGCCAGAGTAAAGCAGAGAAAATTGAATCGTTCTTGCGAAGTTTGCGGTTTTCCAGCGCACTTACCTTCACGTACTCACGATACATTGAACCAGAATCGTCAGGTATCCTCCTATTTATACAGGGATTTAGGATCAATTAGGTATTACGATCAGGTTGATTTCAACGTGAATCGATGCTGACACTTGTTGCACCCCTATCCTCTCGTCGAATAAATTTCAAGTTGAACGATCGTCGCTGAATAATTTTTGTCTGCGACACATTCGAAACTGACGCTCGTATAAATCATAAGGTCGAATAAATCATAAGGATTTACCGAGGTTGGACTGCTTTACGTTTTAATTTGACTTTAGGACATCTTCATTCAAGATTTCAGCGTTTTATATCGTTATTTTAATTCTTAGGGAATCGTCGGCTGGTCAGGCAATTATTTTTCCCGCTTATTTTCGTGAAAGTCGTTTTGTTCACGCGCGAGCATAACCCTTATTCCGGCAGGTGAATGAAACGTGCTCTCCATATCGAATCGTTCGATCTGCATTTCAGATGTTGGAGAGAGTTTCATTGAACCTCTTCGCGCTATGCAAATTACTTAAAATCGAGTGCTGCTCTCGAGAGAATCGTGTGAAACCGTATCTCGAATCTATCTTCAACTTTTAGACAACGTTCTGTAAAAAGTCTAAAGAAATCGTACGACAAAAGATTGTCCAGTTTTCCAACGTGAAATGTTCAATGTTGGGAAAATACTGAAATCAAATGAAACTGATGAAAGAGGGAGGAATCTTTACATGAAGGAGATTATCGAATTAAGATTGAATTATAGTCAGTTAATATTAGGAACTGTCAGGCTTTATTACATGAGAAACATGTACACAGTGAGATTAATTGAGATCTAAGCGACATAGTTACAAGAGGACGAGTGATTTGAACGATAGGAACAAATCTCAAAGCATCAGAGTGATTGTTGAATTAACTATTAATACAATTATCATAGGCTACACGTTGATGAAGTGATCGAATAATAAGTACATTAGCATCCGGCGTGTCCAATTGAATCCTGGCGTGTTTAGTATCGTTAGTTGGAGTCCTGTCGTACCAGCCAGGCATTGCATGTCTCGCTGACCGTTTCGCAGATCGAAGACATGGCACGGCTGGTGATTTCGTAATCTGTGGAACGAATCACACGTAGCAATATCACTTCTGACAGGAAATCATCAAATAAAATAAAGTCTAAGAATTTTATTATGATATAAAATAAAGTGTAGGAAAGGGAATCAGTGAAATAGATAAAATTTGGTGGACGTAACAAATGAAAAAGTAACGTTTAACTGGATATAAACTAAGAAATGCAATCGGAGATGAATAAAAAAATAAAATAAAATAAAATATAAATCTTTAATTCGAGAAGATCTGGGAACATTTAAAACATTTGAAACATTTATTTTACCAGTGATAGTGTTCGATCTTTTGCCAAATATGCTACCATTGAACGGAGGTTTCCTGTAGGCAGCGTTCACGGTGACAGCGACGACGAAAAGAACGACAATGATTGTAAAACAGAAGCGGATAGACACCATTTTGATGATTTCGGTTTGTGAACTGTTTAAAATCAAAGAGACAATCATTTGATAAGCCAAGAATACAATGTAGTACATAAATATAAGAATATAATATAATATAGAAGGCTAGAAAATTTTCCAAGTCAAATTGTTTAATATTCAAAAGAAAAAAAGATTCTATATAAATGATTAGTTTGCTTACAAATGTGGAAACGACAGAACTTGCACGGTAGTTGGTCAGCGAATGTTGCAAATAAAGCAAAAGCTTGGAGCTTTTATAGCGGAGAAACGAATCGAAGACAAATGTCCCCATCAAACGCAGATGGTATACATTACTCGCAAGTGAACTTATCAAGAAGTTCATCTAAGAGTGTATCGATTTGAAATATTAAAATTCCTTGTATCGCGACCGCAATTTCAGCAGAAATAATATGAAAAGATATGAAACCATTTATGTGAAATTTCAAACAAAGAATTGTAGGAATCAGTAGGTTTTAAAAGAATCTATAAATAACACGAGACAATTCGATTTTTCGTGTAGCGAAGAAAATTAGAAATATGAAATATGAAGTTAGAAATATGAAAAATTTTTTCTTACAACACTGTGTCTGCGGTGTTACCTCGAGATGGAAGATGTCTTCTTGGAAAGGAGAACGTGATCTGCTGCTTGAGAAGAAGGTTCGGCTTTTATAAGGCGCCGGACTGCACGTCGAGATATGTGCTGTATGTAATATTATTATAGAACACTGTTACAAGTAATCACGTACAAAACTGAATTACAGACACCGTTGATTACCTTTTTATCCCGAGGGAAATAAGAATCTATTTATGACAGAGAAGATATTTCATAAATATAAATAAACAGAATAAACAATGTTACTTGAGACTGCAACATTATTATACATTACTATTAATTTTTTAACACAATATTACTAAACATACTATTTTGTTCTTCTTTCCTCGTCAAATTATGAATGTTGAAGAATTTCTGTGATTTGAAGAAGATGTATGTCTAAAAACGTTAATATTCTTTTAAACATTGCTATATTTTCATTGAGGTAAATGAAAATTAATATTTTGATAAAAATATGTATCAGTGTTCTACTTGATCGATTGAAGAGTAGAAGATTTCTACTTCCATCTATGATTTTCTACATTGTCTACCGAAGCAACAGTAGAATGTGATATTCAGATTTGTGATACATAGATATCTATAAAGGAGAAGAAACCTGGTATTTTATAAAACTTCATCACAGACCAGGCTACAGACCTTGCTCTGTCCGTGTAGCTCTACCTACAGTAGGTAATCTAACAGATCAATACCTACAGTAAGTAATCTAACAAATCAATAGCTACAGTAGGTATCTAACATGAATATCTACAATAGATAAATGTCGATAAATTATCATTCTATGAGTGATAAAGAAGAGAATGATAAAGCAAAGATAATTAATATAAATTCCATTTACATTTATCTTTTCAATTATTTAACGAAAGTATCGATTATAAATATATTTCTACATCTTAAATATCACGAAAATTTGTTTAAAAAATGTGTCACTTAGGTTATAGTGATTTTTATTTATCGTATGACAAAACATAATGCGAATATCGTTCGCTTATACGATATATACATAATGTACAATCACAAACATAAACAATAGAAATATGCTAGAGACACAGAGTAGGTTATAAATTTATCGACGATTACGAGCCTTTGAGCGTAATATTCGTTATCATGATACAGTTTAATTATTTTATTCCACGACTGCTTGCCGGCAGCAACCACATATACATTTCAGAATACAGTGAATCCATTATTAATCTTAACAACGATTAAATTGTACAGATTACATCCTAGATTTGTAAATTGGTACCCCAAAGTTTCGACTCCTCGATATCATATCGTTAATTAAACAAAATCTCCGATTATATGGTGAAAATATTTACAAAGCAATTATTTCACTTACGACTAAACGTAGCCCAGATAATAAATTGCTGAAGTTGAGTCTTTCGCGCATTTCTGACTGTAATTACAGAATTATTTCGATGTGCAGATCGATCCTCACAGAAAGATCAGTTTCTTATTGTTCGCTGTATTTATTGTAACTTAAAATGACGTAATACATACGGGAATATCTTTCAATTATATTTCCTATGCCTTTAACAGATGAATGCGTGTGTCGAAAGTGCGCGAAAGACAGAGTTTTGCATCGCATAGGCATACTAGTATCTACGTCTTATTGTCGCGTCACAACGTTTTTTTTTTTTCTTCTTCTTCTTTTAAACGGCACACTATGTAAAATAAACGAACGCACGTTTTACCCGCAGGAATTCGAAGAGTCGTGGTTTAATAACCGATATCGATTTCCCTCGAAGTGGAACGTGGTCGCGTTTAAAAAGTAATCGCTTAAACAACAAACTACAAATACTCGCTTGCTTGCGTCGTTCTATTCTCCTGTTATATCCGATCATGCTTTAGGCTCGATCACACGCGAGGTGTCCAGGAGACTACAAAATTGGAAGACGTGGATTCTTGTTCTTCGTTTCCCTTAACAAATATCCTGACCCTAATATAAACCCTAGCGGATTAAGTACAGTGATTATCGTTAAAATCGTGTAAAAGATTATTCGTTACAACTAGAAGGAATCTTATAGATTGTGTATTGACGCGCGGATGCACGCGTTCGTTGCACCGCGGCCACGTATAAATATCGTTTATTGCATAATACACACATCGCACTTTATTGTCCCGTCCACACGCCTCTAGAGTCGGAAGCCTGAAAATGCTCACAATGTTCTCTATCTTGTCTTTCCTAACCGTGCGAAGAAAGTGTCGTTCTTATCGTAAAGTACGGTCGATAGCTCGCGGCAACGAAATCTTCCTCTGTCTCGAAGAAAGTATGTAGCCCTATTGCGGCCTGACAAAAAGCTGTTTCCTTGGACGTTAAGCTGTTTCCTCCTCATCATCCTCCCTCTCCCCTCTCCCTGTTAAGCGCGTGAACCGGACCTAGCGTCTAGAGAAGTCTCTTAAGCCTAAGAAAGCAATTAAGCCGCCTAACGACCAATAATCGCGGGTCGCGATCGTTTCGAAAGATATTCCACTGACACGTTGACCGATACTTCTCGATGCTGATCGATCGGTCAACAACAACGTGCAGGTGGATCGAAAGCATCCTCAGATAAAAGACACGAAAGACACTTCTCTCTTTGTCTCTGTTGATCCGCGAGAATTGGTATTGTATACACGAATCGCAGCTGCCCTAAGGATTAACGGAGGGCACGAGTAGAGATTAGGAAAATACGAAACAAAACGCGGTTTTACGTGTTATCAACCAACTAAGAGACTAACCTTACTATCTATCGGTACCATTGCCCCGACTAACCTACGAGATATGTAAATTCGTGAGTTCGTTTCGCTTCATCCCTCCGTAAACCCGTCCATCTCTTCATTATGGTATTAAGTCACAATGACAGGCGCTGCCACCGTTGCCGTGGTCACATTGAGTCATACACCATCGGTCCCAGTCTACGGACGTTTCATCCGTGGAATTTGCTTCGTTGCCGGTGGCAGCAACGTCCTCGGACTCCTCCTTGCCTGCGTCATCGGTATCCGCATCTTCAACGTCTGCCTTGTCCAACGTGTCCTCCCCCATTTCGAGCTTCGTGGCAGGAAGATCTTTGATCTTCAAACCTTGACCCCGAACCACGTCAGCCGGAACCACAGCCTGTTCTTCGTCCGCCTTCTTCAACATCTTCGACTCGCCATCCTCCTCGAATTCCTTGCCTCTCCAAGGATCTTCTTCACCGTTCCTCGTCCCCTCATGGTCTACGTCGTTGCAGGAACAACCGTGATACCGGATAAGCGTCTTCCTGAACGTGCGACAGGCATGGCTGTCGTCGAAGACGAGGAGATCCGACGAGCCATGACACGGGGTCAAGCAGAGACTGAAGAGACGGTGAATCGGGAACCGGCCGCCGCTGGACTGAAGGACGAGTTTCTGCTGGTGCTGGCAGACTCCTGTGATCTTCTCGAGGCTGGTGTCCCGTGCACGGCAGAGGTGAACGCATGCGTGCTCGAGCGGATGCGCGGCCACCGCGGCCAACAGCAACGCCAGCAACACCCACCGACGTAGAGGCGTCATCTGAAAGTGATGGCTAATCAATACGAAAGCAAACGAGGAACTCGCCGCGTTCCGATAGTCGCCGGAGGAGGCATCGGAGGGATTGGTTATGGCAATCGGGAATTTCCTGCAGCTCTCTTTCTCCGCTGGTATGCCTCGAACTGATATGTACGGGGTGACTCGCGATCGACAGCAACGACGACGTTTGCCGGTGTTTCCCGGGAAGAAAGCGGACGAATGTAGATATGTGATACCGAGAATGTATTAAGACGATAAGATCGTGTTTAACTTTCACTTTTTTAATAACTGAAATTATTCTTCATATTGCACGTGTGTCGCAATTTCGTTGTGTGACAATTTCCAATTCGATAAGCGTATCTTTCACTTACGTAACTGATTCTTTAAAATTTTTAAGTATCCAAGTATCGTAAGAGGAGTGAATTGTCGAAGTGAGACTTGTGAGTCTTTCTTCCAGAAAATTCCTCGATTACGAAAGTGCTTCGAAGAGCTTGAAAAATAATTTCTTTCTCGACCTTCATCAGAAGGTGAACGTCGAGACGGCACGAAATTCAATTTCAAATGAAATGAGAGTAGCTGCCAACGTGCGTGTTACGAGCGAATGATTATTCCTTGTTTTCAACGGAATAAGCAATTGATTCAGGTATCACGAGACACACTGTATCACGAGCCACAAGTTTGGTTGGTACGCGGAGAGAGTAATACCAGAAGCTTGGTATCCGTTATCGGTTTTAGGTGCCGTGTGCCGATAACTGTGATCCGCCGTTTCGAGTTTCCTACGGGCTTTACTATAAATTCTACTAATTGTCGCCGAGAGCCCCGTGCCTTCTTATAGATAATCGCCTTTATTTCTCAAGTTGTCCCGAAGCTTTTTCCCAATCGACGATTTACGAGGATGAACTTTAATCTCTCCCGAGGGATTTCTTCGTTAAATGATCAATTGTGTAACTTTTCTTTCAATTAACGCGATGGAAGAGAAGGCCAGCTGCTTTTCTTCGGTCTGACGAGTGAAAATAATCGATCGGTGATTGCCGATTCGTGCCTTTGTGTCGAGAATGTGGCAGAAATGGAAATCTACACCCGACAAAGGGTTTCGCGAACTTATTTCGGAACGTCCCTGTTTTCTTCCTCTTTCATTACGAAAAAAGGCAGAACACGGTGGAGATATTGGGAACAGATTTGACTATTCGTCTTATTGGATTTTCATTCTCATCATTTTCATCTCCTTGGAAACATGATACGTCTTTAACTCGCAAAGAGAAATCAGAATTTTTTAAACGATCAATTAGTAAACTTTCATAAAAACTGAATTTCTCACAAATCTCTTCCGGGAATATTTCGCAATTCATTTTTCCTACCGTTTTTTTTTTTCGAAAATCGTACGATTACCCACGACAGTGTTGCCGATTTTCATCCTTCGTGTAATTCAATCCGGAAAATATTTCAACTTCATTTTGATAGCGACAGTGCCTCAAAGACCAATACGAAACGATGACTTACCTCCGACGTTAATCGCGTGAAATGAACGTGAGATTTGAAGCTTCGCGATGCACGCCACTGGCTCGACTGTTTGATCACCAACAACGTGTATCGCATTAACTATCATTGGCTGTATCAACTGGTACAGTCTGATTACATACAAACGTACTCGAGAAGCGTAATGAAAGATAACGCGGCGGCCACTTTTCCGTTCACGTTCGTTTCCTTTCTCGAAAGGTCACTGGCCCCTTCGAAAGAAACTGAAACGCTGTGGTCACTTTAGTAACTTTAAGCCTAAATTTTAAGCACTCATTTTCGTGAAAATCGACGAAATCTAAACGATCTTACGCACATCTGTCGATTAATCAATAAGAACACATGTAATGTACGTTTCTGCGTATTTCTTGATTTTATTACCTGATAAAGACACTCGAAAGAATTTTTCCCTCGCAAAAAAGAGAAAAAGTGAAACACGAGTGCACTAATCAACTCGAGGATTTAGTGCGTGAACAAGGCAAATTGAAGTATCAGTATCTTACGTCAGTAAGACGAAACGATTACGATTACGGTTTGTGTAACAACGGTAGCCAGTGGTGTTACGAGAAAGAAAGAGATTGGCTAGATGACGAACAATAAATATTAAATATTAAATATAAAAATAAGATAAATATAATAATAATAATAAAGTTTTCAACAAAATAGGTATCTATACGTGACGCGAAATTGTCACACATCATGAAGAAGTCTTCGATCATTTTAACTTTAAGATTACAGAGGTTCGTCCGTGGAACGCTATCGCACGATGCTGATAACGATAATCAAAGGCGATGTAAGAGAAAAATAATGCCAGATCTTCGTAAGATAGCAAGAATTAAATAATGTTTACTTCTAACGAATTGCACGATGTTACAACCGGCATTTTTCAATTTCTCTTGAAAACGGTCCCCAGGAGTTTGCAGTTTTCACAAACATCGAGCTCCCCCTCAATGAAAAATAACCTCCCCCCCCC